ACCTCACTATTCCACTTCCTCAATGTCTGTTTAACATTACCCATACGGACCCGAACACGTTGAGCTGCCCAAGGTTTTTCAACAACACCATCCCAAGCCTGACAAACCACTGACTCCAATCCAGGATGATCAAGCCAACAGTTGTTAAATCGGAACGACTTCAGACCCCAATTAAGCGCTCTATACTTTAACACAAGCGGACAATGGTCAGACACGTCCCGAGGGAGGATAGATACATAGCACTCACCCCAAGTGTTGATCCATTTTTCCGATATCAACATCCTATCCAGTCGACTCATCAGTAGCCCATCCCCCCCGAACCATGTAAACCGTTTTCCCACTAGTGGCAAATCTACCAGGCCCATCTCTACAATAAAACTATTAAACTCAAACATATCAGATACACTAACCACACTCACTCCTCCCTTCCTCTCAGACTCCCGGCACACAGAGTTAAAGTCACCCACTACACACCACAAAACGTCACCAAAGCTTCGAATTGACACAATAAGATCAGCCCACACCGTTCTCTTTTCCAACAGGCGACATGGAGAGTACACGTTGACCACAATACACCGAACACCACCATTTCCCCAACTCAAACATACACCTAAGTAACCCAGCCCAGAAAAAGAAAACTGTAAAGTACCTTGAGTCGAGTTCCAAATCGAAATAAGTCCACCACTGCGCCCCTGAGAAGGACAACTCAGCCAATCAAACCCAGACAAACCCCAAATTCGCGAGCACAATTGGCGGTCACAACCCTCCAACTTTGACTCCTGTAACGCAATAAAATCCACACATTCACATCTAATCAGCTCGGAGACACGATAACATTTAACCTCTGACCCCAGACTCCTACAATTGAAAGAAGCTATCTTCATGGATCAACCGATTCTCCCCTCTTTTTTTCCACCAATTCTCTGTCACGGATCTCCATAGCCATTAATTTCTCCCTCACTTCTGATTCATTATCCTGCACCACAATCCCACTGAACGAAACAATTTCATCACCTTATCTGTCACCACCTCATCAGTCGCACATAGAGGGTCAACCTCCATAGACACGCCAATCTCACTATCGGACACAACATGATCCGGCACCAACAATGCGACCCCATCCTCCACCAACGCACCACTACAACTCTTTTGACCCATGATATTCCTACCACGAGCTTTCCTTAATGTGTGTCGCATATTGGATCGCCCGGCAGAAACTCCCAATTTGGTTGGAATGGGGACCCCAGGAACACCAGTGTCTTGTGCCACCCTCGATACTTCCTGGGCATGCTCTGGTCAAAGCAATTGATCCAACCCGAACGAATCACTACTAGATCCATTTACCTCGTCCACATGACACAGTAACTCCTGCGTATTCACCCCCTTAGACTGAATACCACCCATACTCTCCACCACACCACCTTGTCCAACATTTCCACTGTGCACATGCTTTCGGCCAACACCATCCGGCACTACTACCGGATCCGTAGCCTCGCTGAAGGCCTCACTTCTAGGATTTCCTCAACCACCGTCTCCGCACCCACTCCCTTATCATTAGGAGGCAATTGCTCCTCCGTAACAGCCCCCACAATCGGCGTGCCAACCACCGTCCCAGACCATACTCCAACCACACCATCTCCAATGCCCCCTTCTTCCCCCGACGAATAATTTTCGACCTCATGCAAGTCCAGAGACGCACCTTCCATATAATCAGAGCCAATCGAGGATTCATCATCAGCAATATCCGCATGGAACTGACCTCCATGCTCCTCCACCATGCGTATCATGAAGCATAAATCATTAATAAGTACTTTCGTCCTCTCATTTATCAACGCCGAAGCCGATGTACGTAATTGAACACGTCCATAATCCAGTCTCCTCCTTCGCTTCGTAACCTCATCCACCTGAATAAATTCCCCTAGGCATGACACCATCTTCTTAAAAAACGTCTCAGACCACGCATGTAACGGCACCTCATAACAGCGAACCCAAGTTTCCCGTTGAACACACACCCCTGTCCTTGGATGTCACCAACCGACTTCATAAAACCAACGCTCCCAAATCTTCCTATTTTGCAACACAGTATCCTCCAGGTTCACCCCTGCATCTGACTCGATCAGGACTTTATCATCTCCCATCGTGGTCAGGACAATATTTGAGAAGCCCGCCTGTAACACCTCCTTCCTAACCCTAGTCAAATCCTGTCCGCGATTGAGGTAACCAACAAGAGTTTGACAACACTCCTCAAGAAACGACTCCTTCACTACATAGTGTAAAGGACACCAGGGTTGTTTTGGCCGCTTTCCCTCAACTCTAATCGTCATTGGCTTTTCCTCCGCCAACGAAACCTGAGGGCCTCGTAGAGCATCTACGTATGAAGAACCACCCACACCTGATCGCCTAACTACTCCCTCCCTGATGCTATGTAGTTTCACCGCAGCCACAGACCCCCTAGCATAACGGCTCAAATACACCTTCAGTCGTTTTGTACCAATCACAATTGATCTCAATCTCCGTTCCATCGTCTTCGCATTACAAACATCTGCAAAGCGGACAAACCCAAACCTCCTCCCTACTTTATCAAGTTTCTTGGGTAAAAATACATCCACCACCTTACCCAACTGCCAAAAAATTTTCCATAGAGTAGCAATCTCAAGTGACTCCAGAATATTCGTGAAAAAATATGATGTTGAGGAGCTTAAGACACGCCCTAAATGCCCCTCAAACCCCTTGTTTTGACTCCCATTCCGTAACTTCCTCGACTGCCCTCCACCGCTACCTCTCTCCCAAACTCTACCATGGGCATTACTATCCCTTAATCTCATATTGCCTTTTTTCCTTATCATCTATCTAATCCCCTTAGGGTTCAACTTAACTACCAAATATTCCAATCATCTCTTAATCTTCCAATTTTCAAACCTCCACTTGACTAAAACGAGAATTTACCCTATTTCAATTACCGAATGTTGAAGAGTGGAGACAATAACTTTACCTTTCTATTCTTGTAAACCCCATAAGCATTTTCCACTTTCATCAGCTTCTCCGCAATCTACCAGGACCTTCCAGATGGCCCATACCAAGCAAACAATCCACAAGTCTACCGGCGACAAGGTTCCTCTGAAGCAACTGATCTCAAATGTATGTTTTTTTTTAATAATGTATTTAGCAAATGCATCTTGGAACATTTTAGAGTCAATTTTCATTCCTTGAACAAGTTAGTCTTATTATACAACATAACTCTTGTATCATCATGATAATTTCTAAACACACTACATTTAAAAATATGTCATATTAAATTATTGGTCATTAAAATCAAATAGGACCAGTAACACGAAATAAAAAAAATACCAATGTTTAAATTTTTTTATTATTTCTAAATTATATATATTATCAAATTAATTTATTATATATATTTTTTTCTAATAAAATAATATTATATTTTATTAATAAAATAATTATTATTTTATAAAACTAATCAACCCACAAATCTATAGATAAACTTGACCCAAATGACGTGACTTAAATATATTAGACAAAATTTTAACTAATTTATTTAGCTTATAAATTTTTTCTAGTCTAACTTTTTTTTTTTACCTTTTGGATTATCTATCTTATTAAACCTATTTTAACACCATATCATCAGTATTAAAATCATTTCTTATCTTGCTTCTTCTTTGAATCATAATCCAACTATTTTAAATTATATATTAATTTATTTTCCATTTAAATTCAAATTGTATAATTTCAAATAATCTTATATATTTAACTACTAATCAAATTAAAAACATTCATGTAATAGTTTTTTGAAAATTGGATGGTTGAGTTTAAAAGCATGATTATGAAATGAACATCCCCACCCTCTTTGTTAGTTGTTAGATAAATGGCAACTTCAATAATTGTACCACCATGCCCTCGTCCATTTACATAACAAGAAATTAATTGCTGATTTGACGCTACAATTTGCTTCGTTCAGTTTATAGATACCCTTTCAAGATTTCTTATTAATGACATAGTAGTTATAAAATTGTAATATGACTCAAATATGATTCGAAAAATGCTTTTTAATAAATATTATTATTGAAAAATAATATAATATATATTTTTAGATTTATACGAAAATCATCATCGACAACAATTACTAATATAAATAATATTGTATTTTTTTCTTAGTATTTTGTTACAATTTTTTTTTCATGTGTTGAAATCTAATAAAAATATGAATTTAAAAAAGATTGATTTAATTATAAGTTTTTTTTTCAAGAAAATTTTAACAATAAGTTTTATTATGTTTTAATGTTTGTGAAAGGTATTAATAAAAATAAAACTAATAAATTATTAACATTTAAAATAATGAAATTATTGAGATTTAAATAGCTGAATTTGAATTAATACAAGATACTATTTATAAAAAGATAAATTAAATAAGTAATTAATATTAAAATATTTATATAGAAAAAAAGAAATTTAAAGATTTATTGAAACAAAATTAAACATTTATTTAAAAACAAATTAAAGTTTGAGAATCAATTAAGATAATGTACTTGCTAAAAGATAAAATTTAAAGAGATTAAATACCCTTTTATCTGAATAGAATGAAATATAACTTTTGTACACTAACTTAAAACTATAAAAACTAAATTTAAAGATTCTGTCCGAGATTGTTTCTATTCTTATCCTTAATTCTTAGTTAATAGACAGATTAAAGAAATAGGTCATATCTAAATTTGTGAGGATAATATCATCACCTTTTTTAGCAGAAGTGCAACACAATGTTCCTCGTATTTTTGTTGACAATTTCTGTTACAGCCAAGCTCAGAAAACTGATAACTAATGACATGCGTTAAGGAACAAAAATATCTGAAGTGTTCTTTATTTTAAAGGTTGATAATAACTGAAGACCATCCAAGAAGCTTATGCTTCTGATATTGATTACACTTTGCGTCTGTTACAGTTCCTGAAAGAAGAGATAAAATAAAGTAACGTGGGGTAGGTGAACGAATTCATGGCTTCTTAGTACTTGGTTGCATTTTACGCGATAACCATGACTCAGAAGGTGACTTGGGCAGTGGTGGAAGCAACACGGCTCTGCGGCACAGACCAAAGGGCCATCCCTCGCAGTGGCGAAACTCCTCAATCACTGAACGTCTCCAAGGTTTTGACAGGTCAAGGTCGTTGAGGCTTGAACATCGTGAAAGGTTTGTCTTCACAGAATAGAATGCTTCCCCACTGGGAGAACTCGAACACCGTGAGAAACAACTTTTGACAGACAAAAACTCTTCTCCTTCGTCTTTTTCTTGATCACCCTCCACCTTTTCTTGCGGAGCCACTGCCTGAGTCACGTAAAGTTCTTTCGTTGCAGGAGAGTATACCCAGGAATAGCTGTGTCTCAACGCGCTTGGCTTCTGCTTCTGTTTCTCCATTGTGCGGTTTATCACTGCTGCGATAAATACCTGGAAACAAAGGAAAAAAAAACAATCAATCCATCACAGTTCTAACAGTTTTATCATGAATATTCATGAAAAAGAAGTGTGCATGGAAACTACTCTTCAAAATGTTAGGTGGTTTTTGATTCAGATTAAAAAGTTTTGTAATAAATTTTACTACTAATTTATCTTTAAAATAAAACATTTAATCCTAAATACTTGATTTCAAGATCAATTATAATAGAAATTAACTTTGCAAAACCAATCACATTCAAAATTGATTCTGCACTCAAATAAACGCAAACTTACTTCTTGTTCTTCGTCAAAATCGCTCAGTGGGTACTCATCCTCAAAACTTGAAGTTGAAAGCCGTGCACCAAAAGTTTGGCAACTAGAAAATACTTCCTTAAGAGTTGCAGCAATGTATTTGCAACTCTTGGGTTGGTTTGGTGGCTCTTCATGGTAGAACACACCCATGTGGAAATTTATTCATCAATTTGTCAGATAGGAGCACATATATATATATATATATATATATATATATATATATATATATATATATATATATATATATATATATATATATATTTGATGTTCGAATTGACCTGCTTCATTGATAGTGGCCCAGCAGCGTACTGGGAGCCCTAAAAAGTTCTCTGTTCTTTAAGGTAAAGATAAACATTAAATAGCCCAAAGACATTTTAACTAATGGCAGTAATATTCAATTTAGGATTCAAATGTTTATTTGACAATGGTTAGTGATTTGATTGGGAAATTTTTTTGCCCTGGGAATTTGCATCAGGTCCAACATGTATATGACATGTGACGCCTTTTTGGGCGTAGTATGGCTATCGTACAAGTAAGAAATGTCTCCACCTGGTAACTTTCAACCGATTTGTTTATTTCTGAGCCTAGAGATAGTGCTTAATGAGTGTTGCACTTTAAGTTAAAGTCATCGTTAACGGGACGTGCTACCAAATAAATACTACTATTTGATAAATCCAATTGGATTGGAATCCTCCAAATGAAGTTATATCAGGAAAAAACCAGAAAGGGACAAGGGATTCGAGACATGTTAGGCTAAATGACCCCTTGAAATTGGCTCACATGGTATAATGATTTTAATCAGAAAAGGACTTCGAGGAAAATTCTGTCTTGTTATTATATCCCACTCAAAGAATCGTTTGCTGTAAAAAAAATGAGGTTTATACCAGAAAAGAAAAAAAAATGATGGCAAGAATTTGGTTCATTGCATTTCATAAACATTTAATTATGATCTATGTATGCCCTCTGGGGCAATTTGAAACTCAGTTTGATGAGCTTCAAAGTATGAATATGGGCCGAAGATGATAGGGAATCTCTCCTTTTATTACTGGTTTTCTTCCACAAGTTTTTGCGAGAAGAAGTTATCTTGTACAGATCAAATATTGGATATTTATGTGACTATTCTGAAAGTTTTAAATAAAGTTTCACATTGACTAAATAACAAAAACAAGTTTGATTTTTAAAGTCATAAAATCTAGTTTATCTGAGAATTACGGGATTCATTTTTTGACCTCGTCCTCCAGTTGCACTTGGTCCTACCTTATCTTCTATAAATCACTTCTCTATTGTTCTTAATGCACTCTCATTGAAGCACGCAATCTTCCCGATAATCATGCTTAGGGTGCGTAGCGTTTTAAAATAAATACCTCTGTTCTTTGTGTTAAGCTTGGCAAACATTAAATTAAAAAAAGTGAGATCAATAAAAACTCGTGTCTGACACTAGAACAGTAATATTCAATATCAGAAACAATGATTAAGCTTGAGCATAAATAACATGAATAATCCTCTCCAACATAATTTGCACCATATCGAAAATAACATTACTTACACAACTGAACCTAATCAAGAAAAAAAATGAATAGAATAATAGGCTTAAACACCATAATTAACTCCGGTTGAACTAAAAATATAGGTTTAAACTTTAACACGACAAATTATTGCTCCAATCCTAGCCCATTTTGACGGATGGGCGCTGTGGTATAAATATAATAAAACATTTTTCTTTTTAGAGAAAATAACTTAAAAAAAATGTAACCAGTTATTAATTACCTATTTTGCTTGGTAGTATAGTAATCTTAAGTGGAAAATATCGAGGATAAAGTTGGCACAATAAACTGGATAATATAAATGTGAGTATGATCATGATGGATAAAAAAGGATGGGAAAGTGGACAAAGAAGTCAACACCAGGAACAAGAATGATACTATGAGTAGGATTCTGAGTCCCACAGATACAATGAATAATGTCATCATCAGATACCTTACAACAAAACAACTTCCTCATCAGTTAAAAAGTCACCTTTCCTCAGTGTTTAAGACCCGACATTGGTGGAAAATCCTTGACACTGAGGGGAATCTGTCAAAAACCGCATTTGACCAAAACCAAATCCTAAATGATCATTGGGAAAATTCTTTGCTCCCCGTTCATTTCTTTTACAAAAAAAAGCGCATGCTGAAGAACAGTGGTATATATATAATCCACGATCATGCAAAGGTTTTGCTGAGCAAGCTTCTTGTGACGGTAGCTCTGATTGATAACGTTACATTAGGTGTTTGGTTATTTGACTCATGAACTAGTAATTCCGGAAACCCATGGAACGATCACTGGCGCAGAGGGGTGCGAATTTCGATACCATTCAGGATACTTATCCTTAAAATTTAGACGAGGTTTCTCAGCCTGGATCCAAATAATCAATTAGAATACATTAGCAAGGAGAGGAGGGCAAATAAAGGATCAAGAGGAAAAACATCAAACCAGACATTTATGAAAAATCAATAGCATTTTATTAAATCACAGAGAGACTGCAAGTATGAAAAGCTAGCACGGGGTAGAACTTACATATTTCAGCCAACACTCCTGATGTTTGTGCTGGTAAATATCTGGAGAATGACACCCAAATTCAGATGGGCAATAAACCCAGATATTGCACTTCTTTTCACCATCTTTGGCATGTTTCGCATGATCCAAGCAAGCTTGACAGCAATCAGCTGCACTATCCTTGTGGTGGGTAAGACCCCATCTTACTGCGGCACCATCATAATCTGTATGAAGTTCAGCATGGCACTCAGGTGAAAGGGGCCTGCCAGGAAGAACCTCATCCTCTGTAGAGAATTTATACTTCGTAAGTCCAAAGAAAAAATTTCTGCAAGAAATAAATTTATATGCACACTACTTCCAGATTCTAGCATGCAATTTATGCGTTGTTAACTGATTCCTAGAAACCACTCAAGTGATGAATTTTGTACAAACCAGTACTGCAGGCAATGCATATGAGGTAAGACTACAATCGAAACAATGGATATTACGACTGAAGAAACTTATATTACCAAACTCTTCTGCACCGTCAGGTTTGTCATCATGTTCTTCATTTGTAACTTGAGCAGGTATCCAGAGGCCAATCTCTTCACAAAGCAAAGCCCAATCAGACTCCAAGGCTCTTACTAGTATACCTAGGAAGTTGAAATAACATTATGTACAAGGTGTCAAAGATTTGTAAAGCATCCATTACCAGTTTGCAAAGAACATTATCTTAAAAGTATCACACAAAAAACCCATAAGTGACACAACATAAGTGAAAAAGTATCACAAAGAACATTATCTTAAAAGTATCATACCAGCTTCTTCGTGGGGGATGGTTGAATTGGAAGTCCCCTTCACATGAGCCAACTTGACCTCTTCCAGTTTTTCCTTGCGCCAATTCTCAACTACTTCTGTATTTATGAAAATGTAATATCACCAAATTGAGCATATATGAGTTGTGTTACAAATGAATTAGGAACAAAATTACTTCCAATTCTATAAAGTTTTCATTAAATAACACCACCAAATTTAATGCCTAAAAATAGAGTAGCTTATAATTCATTAAACAAGCAGAATAGACTCCTGATTCTTGGGATGAACCTTTTTCCTCGGTTTGCCCCATCCCTCTCGACACATTATAGAAATGAGTGATTATGCAGTACAACATAAATCTTCACTACCACATAAACTTATGCTATGTTAGAGCATAAATCTCCTTTATCTTAGCAATGCCTTGTATCCAACACATTGCTAAGCTTTTCAAGATTTCTATTAAGGGGAGATCTAGTATCATCAGAAGTCGAAAAAGTATAGAACAAAGAGAAAAAGGTATAAAACAATTCCAGGTGGAATGTTTGTTCTCCTCCACCCCAGGGAGAAAATGGATATAAGAAACATTATGCACCCAATGCAATGAAAACATCTTCAGTTGTTGATTTGCATCCCAAACATTCTAAGCCCCCTTTACATTTTACCACAACAGACAAATGGTGATCTCTATCTCTCTACGATTCAGGATGACATATTTAAAATGCAAAAGTGATTTGATGTTGTGATGTAATATGTTCTAAGATGGTGCCAATTAATAGAAACAAATGTTAATCACTTTGCTCGGTCTATCATCAGTTTAGTAACCAGATAAATAAAAAATTCAAATTATCTTCACTAATTTTGTCATTTAATCAAGTAATACAATATAAGCATTTCAGACTAACAACTTGAGAGACTGAAAAGTAAAAACTTAGTAACTTAGCATATAGACGTTCTTACTAAACATTAAAACAACTAAGTTATTATTCTGAGTTTCCTTTTTAATAATTACAAAGTCAGTACTTCATACTTTCAATTTGTTTTGAGAGACTGAAAACTCAATCAATGTTTGCACTTCTTACTCAATATAATATATATATATATATATATATATATATATATATATATATATATATATATATATGTATGTATGTATGTATATTGTTGCTGCTCAAAAATTCCCCTTTTGATCAGCTATGTTTTGAGTTAAGTGAACCTGCTTCTCCTCTTACCCTGGTGCCTCCTTTTATATGTTATTCAACTTGGATCCGGGTCTTTCTAATTTGGTTATTATTCCATATGCGGACTTCCAAATAACGGACATGATTTTAGGCAGGATTTTCAGCATCGCATCCTTAAGAAAGAGATTCTCACCACATGACCAACCCTAGGTCGGTCGATTGACAAGGTGGATTATTTGGACTATATATATATATATATATATATATATATATAGAGAGAGAGAGAGAGAGAGAGAGAGAGAGAGAGAGAGTACAACTAAGACAAAGTCACTCTTATCCTCTCCAATAACTTTCAACTGAATAAATTTATCCAAAAATGGCAAAAACTATCCTTGTATTGAAAGTATCTAGTATATTGGAGTTATTTAAATAATCTTAAATTTATTTAAAATTGTTTGATACCTCAGTACATGCATCAAAATTAATGATACACTTTCAAAATAAGAAGCATTTAATTATATTCTTACTGTTGCTTAATTTTTAAAAGATTGATACGAACAACGTATACTCATGATTTGTCAGTGGGATTAGCAAAAATCATATTCTATATAAGGTACCGAAGGATGTAGGAGTGTTAAATCTTTCGTCAGTGTAAACAAATCCCTCAGCTAAAACTAAATGTGACATTTTTCTTGTTCCCTCCTTGTCGTTTCTAAAGTTATAATATAATCTCCATTCTTATTCATTGCCATAACAAACACTAATAACTTTGCAGGCGACTTATTTCTATTCCAAAAGAGGGATGAATCAGATGGACTGATCTAGGTTCATAGGAGAAAACAACAAGAACTTAATTAATTTTCATCCAACTCTTAGAATAAAAAATGAGATACAGATATAAGATGAGCAATGGCAATTTTGTCAAATAACGAAGTGAGCAAACAATACTTGCAATTGATTGCAAAATCTAAAAAATTCAGTAAGGTGATTGAAAACGCAATTGTATTACTGAAAAGCCAAATGCCACAGTTGTAGTAACACACAGCCACAAAGCAGCAAGAAATTAGAGTGCAAATCATATCCCATGCCAGCATAGCATAAACACAATACTTAGTAACAAGTGTTATTATGAATTCAATACGTAAAAATGCTTTATGCTTAACAATGTTTAAACTTAATAGTTATAGAATGAATAGGATTCTTATCACAAAATTTACAAGCATACACTCACCTCGTTCCTTAGCAATATCTGTGTTACTGGAATTCAAACTCCTTAGTCTCTGCAAGATCTCAGAAATTATGTTCTGTTTCAAATCCCAAGGCAACTCAACCGCCGCAGTTTCACTCGAAAACTCCCCCTCTAAAGCCCTCACCTTTTTGCACAACGATTTTAAAACGTTAACTTCAGCAAGCGACAAATGGAAGCAGATGAAGGGTTCGCACTTCTTACCCACTTAATTAACTCCTCGGGCTTAAATTCCCTGCGGATTTGCATTGACGCTTCCATTTTCCGAATCTGATCTGGGTTATACAACGCAACTGTAAAAAGACACAAAAATAAAAAACCATGCAGCAACCGTTTCCATTAATGTTAAAAGAAATAAAAATCGATGCAAGTTACTTACCGTTACGGGAAACGTTACCAGAGTATATATAAAGAGAGGCATAAAGAGAGCGAAGAACGTAGAGAGCAACGGCAATGTTGAAGAAGCAAACTAAGAGAGTGGTTTTCTTGTACGAAAAGAGCCACTTCCCTCTCGCCATGTTCCCTTCTCCCTCTCTTCTTCATCCCATCATTGCAAGCTTCCTCTTTTTTATGGGGAAAAAGCCTGCTCCAACAACTTTAATCCGAGATCGAAGAATCGAAGAAAACCTCAAGTGACAAGCTTGCGCCACCAAACTGCGATTTGCTTTTGTTATTCGACGGAGACTTTGTTTAATTTTATTCTAAAAAATTTGGGGTTTTGGGTTCTGTAGTTTTGGGAGGTGATCTCTCTGATGCCTAAGGTGGAGTGTGCGGAGACATGGGAGGAACCCTGTTTGGTTGCAAATGTATAGTACGCTTTTTCTGAGGTGGTTGGCTGAGGTGGGAATTAGACGGAACACCTAATCATTTCGGTGATTCCGCGATTATTGATGGTGGTCCTGCTAAACTGCGCACCACCTTCTTTCCTAACCTGCGCCTTCTTTTCAAATTAAATTCCTTACTAAAATTAATTATGCATTTAAGTTCTTGAAATATAACTCCATCTCCTCAAGTTATCTCAAATTTTACCACAATTAAATCTTTCTGTAATTATAATAGGTTTCAAAAAGTGTACTTAAATGATTGATTATCGAATAAAAATATATATATGGAATTCATTGTCTTAAATTAAACTCTTTAGTTCTCCTATCTCCCTAGGTATTGACCACGAATGTCATTATTTATTACCAACAACCAAAGTAAGATATTCATAATAGGTTATTTATACGATTTGCTACAAATAATAATAAAAAAACATTTATTCCTCCCAACATTAAAAAAAAAAAAACTTGACCGAGTAATATAAAGAATAATTTCATTTTTTTTAACCTAGTAATCATCAACAAAACATCAATATAATCATTAAATAATAAATAAACTAAAAAAAAAAAAGAAATCATCAAACCATATCCATGTAACATATAATCAAATATACATCTAAAAGTAACTAATGACAGGAACCAAAACCTTTTTTAATCAATCATTTGAATTGATGTAAATTATAAAGAAAGCCGTCTTAAGGAAAGCACTTAATTGATTTTGAAAACTTATACTAAATTTAAAATATTAATTTAATTATTATAAGTCACAAAACAGGTTTAAGTCAGATTAATTGAGCTGTCAGCCCAACTAAATGGTAGTAGGTAATAATTTTAGTTTATTAGTTATTTTTTTCTTATTTTTTTATTTTTTATTTCTAATTCGTCAAGTTCAGGATAAAATAGTTTGTTTTAAAAATATATTTATATATATTAAATTAAAATTAAAATAATATCTTTTTTAATATTATATTTAAATTATAAAAATTAATTAATTAAAATTATTTATTATAATTAATTATTTTAAAATATAAATATAATAATTTTTTAATTTATTTAATAAGAATACTAATTAAAAATAAAAATTTAAAAATTATTTATATAATTAAATATATATTTAAAATATATATATATATATATATATATAACAAAAAATTATATTTTAAAAAAATTATTAACATATTACCTATTAACCTGCCTTTTAATAGGATAGGACGAAAGCGATTAGGTTTATAATTGACTAATTCATCATATCTTATTTTTTTCGAGTTAAAAATAGGACGAGCTAATCAATTATTTTAAAATTTTAATTATTAAAAAATGTGATAACATTCATAAGATTAGAAAATAGATTTAATATATTAGATAAAAAAATATTTAACTTAAAGTATTAGATTAGGAAAATAAAATTATGATTTAAGTTGAACTTATTTTGGGTGCGTGTGGATCTAGACAGAATAATATTAGATTTATAAACCGATTATTTGATAAATTTTTTAAAAATACAATAAAAAATATGATTTTATTAAATATATATAGTATATAAATTAATTTAATAAAAAAATAAATATAATAATAAATTTTTTATATTTATTAATAATAATAAAAATGAAAAATAAAATTTTAATTCTCATTAAAATCAAATTGAACAATTTAATTTTAATAAGAATTAAAATTTTATTTTAATAAATCATGATTTATTTATTTATAAAATAAACTAATTTTATTAATATTATTTGTAATTATTGTTATTGATTGCTCTAAATTTGTGAACTGTATACATTCTTTTTGTCCAACTTAAGTATTAAATGCCATTGAAAAATAATTCTCGTAAAAAATGGATAAAGTATGAAAAACATATAATTAGGAGAAAGTTGAGGTTGTAACTTTAATTATGCAACACCCAAAAAAAATATGAATTGCACAAAAAATCATGTATCTATAATAAAAATGTTATTGAAAGTGTGAACAATTATGCTATAAGATAAATTTTTTTTCAAGAGAATATTTCTTTTTAATACATATAAAATGAACCATAAGCAATGCCAAAAACGACTTCAACAACATATTACAACACAAATAATTTAGACCCTCTAAACGATGTTTTCATGCAAAAATAAATTATATAAAAAATTAAATTCAAGTTTTATGATAGAAAAATAAATAGAAAAACTTCTTTAAAAGTTTAATATTAATATTTTTTTAAATAAATATATATTATTGATAGATATTTTAAAAAATTATAATCATATGTTAATTTTGTTTTTCCTTCAATGTTAGACTAACCAATCAAATGATAACTTCTCTCGAACAAAATTACAAATGGAATAAATAATTAATTTAATCTTTAAATAAATTAGATAAGATGAATGGATGGAATATTTATTTTAATATTTTAATATATAACAAAAATATTGTTAAATTTTATATTATTATTTTATCATTAAATATAATTTTTAAAATTTAATTTGATTGGTAATAAAAAATATATTGTATATCATTAAAATAAAAAATTATTCTTGTATATTTAATTAAAAATATGTATATATTTTTGTACTTCAAAATAGTTGTATAAATAGTCGCACATGTTAGAAAACTTATCCTATTTAAAAAAAATATATATTTATAAAACCCAGTAATGGTCCATTGAAATTGTGCAATTGAACTAGTGTTTGAAAATAAACCGTATAAGTTAATCCACCAAAAACCCTAGCATAAACTCATAACAAAATATTATGTGATTAATAATCCAAGCTTTACGTCAATTATTAAAGGCTAAATAAACCATCTTTTGAAAAGCTTTTAATGGAATTGACCATAAATGTATTGGCGAAGGATAAGGACAACCATCATCAAAATATACTTGTATTTATATCCTCATCTCATAACATGTTCTTGATAATTCCAAACCAAATATGTAAACAAGAAGAATATTTTGTGTGTTCAGACCATAATAGAAATGTAGTTTAGTATATTTTTGAAATATTTGTATATTAATAATTAAAATTTATAAAGTTATGCAAGTACGAAATTCTTTTAACTATTTTTATTTATAATTTAAAAATACAATATATTCTAATCAATAATAAATAAAATATTTTAAAGATAATGTTTTAAACAGATTATAAAATAAAATTGGTTGAATCTTCTTCTACTGACTCTAACATGGTGATTGTATTGCATCATTCATTCTTATCATTATTGTGACTTGTAAGATGTATACGGTTGGAATTCCTTTATAACGTTTTCACACTAATAATTATTAATTATATACTTTTTTACAGCATTAATAACTAAGACTTAAATATTGTTATTTTTGTCTTTGCAATTAAAATGCTTTTTAAAAGTTTTTCTAATTAAAAATAGTTTCTTATTGAAATGTTGTTAGTGACTTTATTTAAATGAAAATTTGTTTATTTGACAGCTCAGCTTCAAGTACATCTATCTAACAATGTTTGAATACAAAGATTAGAAGAGATTATTTTAAATTATAAAATTAATTTTAAACATAGAGAATAGAGACAAATTTAAATAATAATAATAATAATTGTTGTATTGATAATATCTCTGGGGAAGGATTCTGACTTTTTGAGTGAATTCCAAATCCCAATTTCCATCACCACGAGTTGTGGAACAACGCAACAGACATAATAAAAAAAGTGGGTGAACCAATATCCAATAGAAAATGTTCTTCTGTGTTGAGATCTTTGAAGGAGGAGCGTGAGCTCAAACACACAACACCACCTGCATCTGGTTGAGACAACCTTAACTTTGGTCTTTCCAAGTTCCAACCACGGTTTTGTTTTTCCCGCGCCAGAGTGTGGGAAACAAAGAGAAAGCTTGAATTGCGCCTGCCAGTCTTCTTATCAAGTAAACTTTTTCATTTCTTCTTTGATCTTCTGCAAAATTTGAAATCTGTTTCTCCTTGTTAGTTAGTTCTCTGGAAATTAAGTGTTCCGAGCTCTGCGGGTTTTGTTATGGTAGTATTAAGAAGAAGAAGAAGAAGAAGAAGAAGAAGAAGAAGAAGAAGAATGTGGGGATTTGGTGGTAGATATTATTGGGGAAAAAAGGTGGCTTCTGAGAAAGCTGATGGGATAGTTGTGGTGTTCGCATGGATGTCAAGCGAGGAGAAGCACTTGATGAAATACGTGGACCTCTACTCCTCTGTCGGATGGAATTCACTCGTTTGCCATTCTCAATTTCTAAATATGTGAGTTCTAAACTTAATTCTCTATTGGATGCCCCTCAACTATGTTTTACACTGTCATCTTTTCAGTCACAAACATTTTTAGATTGTCACAAGGTTGTGTGAGAAGACAGGATTTGATTCCCAGAGTATGTGGTGATAGCTTTTCAATCCACATTTGTTATCCATGTGTAGATATTTTGCCACAATTTAAACTGTTACTCCACGCTTTAGCCTCTATAATGTACTTTAGAGAAGTCAAATCGAAGAAGGCAAGGTTTTGCCATGATCAAACTCATCCATTTCTTGCTCAATTGTGTATTCTAACGGATATGAATTCTACCCTTTAAATTATTTTCGGAAAATCCCTCATGAATGAGTATTAACCCTCTTCCACCAAACATACCGTAGTCTCGCTGTCTTGGCCATATATGGGATTAAGGACTAAAGACTAATAACAGCAAAAGGACACATAGTAAGGGTATCGGTGTAACACAACTCCAAAGCTACGTATAAAGTAGGAATCAACACTACTAAAACCTCAATATACAAAAGCGGGGGTGCTAAGTGGACATTTTAAGACATGATTTAAAATCAGAAGAGGAATGAGATATTCCCAGATAAGCACTACTGGTGCGAACTATTAGTACCTGGTCATAAGGTTTACTGGTATAATTGAAACTTGAAGCTTGATCAATATTTATGCTTCAGAAAAAAATGAGGTGGGGGAGAGCGGGTTCATTCTGTCCAATGTAGCTGATTTTTTGTTGTTGATGGGACCACCAGATATTAGCTTCATGAAGTGTATTGAGCTAGATTGATGCTTTATCTTTTAGAACTCCAAAAAAGACTAACAAATAATCATGGCTGTATATATAAGGTTGTCTTTAGTAGCTAACCTTATCTTGGCTTGATCAATATGGTTATAATGACCAAATTAGGTGAAGTTTCTCTCAATTTTGTCGAAACAATTTTCCATGTACATTTTTAAATTAAATCAGTTTTGATGGAGGGGGTTATTATTCCAGTGTTGAATTTTTGGGTGAGCTGATTATTATGTCAACACCTCAGCTTTTGTTTGGCGAATCACAAGGTCAAAGTTGCAGCTTTGTATTTGCATTTTAGCTGTTCTTCCTTTTTATTGGGTGCGTGGAAACTTTGTTTCAATTTTTGCTTGTATTATGTAAAATGGTGGTTAATATTCAATCATTTAATATATTCTTTAAGGGGTTTATTGGGGGCATGATAAGCTAATATTAAGTTTGCAGAAACTATTTTAATTAAAGTCAAAGGTTTATTTGTTATGTTAAATGATCTGCACATGGATACTTTGGTTCTTTGCACATCTCAATCTCAATCTCAATGTATACTAAAAGATTATTATATCATTGCTATTATTCGCAGGTTCTTCCCTGAGAAAGCCACGATTCTTGCTGTCGATATTCTTAATGAACTTGTTGAGGTAAGTTTTACTGTTGACCTCTATTTTGTAGGTCAGTCAGCATGACTTTAAGTTAGCTGAAAGCTTCCCTTTTAATTTATTCTGAGGTGGTCTACGTTTCTATGATCCTGATTAAGATTCGCAACAAAGTGAGTCTGGATGAGAGAGAAAGGATTATTGTAACATCTTGTTCTTTTGTATCCCATTGTGTAGAACATTTATAAAGGAGTCTGAACTGAAGTAAACTTATTATCTTTTAAACTACTGTTGAATTTGTATTTTTTTTTTTTAATTTAGACTAAAGTCAATCCATAGCAAGCTTAAATATACTGCATTTGGTTCAATATACAGGTGCTGAAAATCAGGCCTTGTCCCATTGTTTTTGCATCCTTTTCAGGCGGTGCAAAAACTTGTATGTACAAGATTCTTCAGGTATTTTGTTCTAGACTGGTTTTTATGTTTTGAACATCATGCTATTCAATCTTTTAGTTCTATCATCTGATGACTCTGCTTTTCTGTCATCCAGATAATAAGTGGCAGCTCTGAAGCTCATAATATGGTATCCTTCCTTCCGTTTGCAGTTCAAAAGATGGTTGAGTTGCATAGATTTTATAATTGATAAACTCATCATTGTCTTAAACTTTTTTCAAAACCTTTAATGCATGAAATGAGGCGTACAGTATTGAATCCAAATACTGTATTTTTTGTTCCATGATGTAATTGATCATATGTTCCCTTTTACCAAGTAGTTTTGGTCAAGTTCTTGTTACATGGACCTATGTGTGTTGGACAGTGGGTTTTGTCATTATAATTCTCCTGTTCACCCACCCACTCATAAATATATGTTCAATAATAGTTTATTTATTTATTTTATCTTCTTCACCACTTTTAAACTGTTTTAATGGCACAGGGTGACTACCAGCTTGTTAGAGAGTGTATTTCTGGTTATATTTATGATTCCAGTCCAGTTGATTTTACCAGTGATTTGGGTGTTAGATTTCTTCTACACCCAACTGTTTTAAAAGTTTCCCATCCACCAAGATTTGCTTCATGGGTTGCAAATGGCATAGCATCCGGTCTTGATTCTCTTTTCCTCAGTAGATTTGAATCACAGCGTGCAGAATATTGGCGGACACTTTACTCCACCGTTGTAAGTAGCTAAGAATCAGTAAACTAATAACTCTCTTCTTTTTTTTCTCAGGTCTTATCAAATAGTTATTTTGCAGAATATGCAGGTGCCGTATCTCATTTTATGTTCAGAAAATGATGATCTTGCTCCTTTTCAAGTCATTTCAAATTTTTTCCAAAGACTTAAAGACCTTGGTGGAGATGTAAAACTGTTAAAATGGAGTGCCTCTCCTCACGTAGGTTAGTATTTGACTAATTTTTTACATAATGGCACATGAATGAGTTGTTAATATTCTACTTGCAAACATATATTGTTGGACTCAAGAAATAAACACTGAATTATGAAATAGAAATATTTCTGTTTTAGGCCAAATTTGAGTACAGACATCAACAAACAGAGGGTTTTTCCTTAATAGGAGTTTCCTCCTTCAAACCACTAGAATTTACAGCCCGATGCCTTGATTGGTTTCTAGTCTGTCGCGCAGTCTGTATATCACTATACCTGTGTGATGAGAACAGCTTGGAACATCATGTTGGCAGTTAAGTGTTGAAGTTAGGAGCAGTAATGCGTCATTGTAATTTGTGATAGAAAATACGTTATTCTACTTTAGATGTTCTGTAGACAGAGGATACTCTCTATTGGACACTTGTCTCTGGGACAGCAAGTTTTTGTGTTGTACATTAAATTTTATTGGTTTACCAATTAGTGTGGTATCATTTTAGTCCAACCTTCCAGATAAGTGGGATTTGAGATCTGTTGAGGCTAGTGAATTGATGATTTGACAATGGTTAGAGTTTCTGATCATGTAGATTAGTGGCAGGAGTGTGAAATGATGTAGTAAAATTGAATAAGAGGATTGGATAGAGGCTTCTCTCTTGGATGCTGAGGCTGTTTAGGAAGAGGACAACGGAAGAATGGAAAATTCCAATCATAAGGACGGAACAATAGATCAAGGGTCTGATTTAAATCTCCAAGGTTTGGAAGAGTACTGTATGACAGTTAATATAAAGTGGAACTGCCAGGTCATGTTTGGTGGATCAACCATACGCTGGTTCAATTTGTTGAGGGAAACTGAAGAAAATATCACTTGGGAAGTTTGGAGAAATAAAAAGGATTTGATTGCAGGGTTAGAGAATCCACATGAGGAATTAACAAACATAAATGTAGAGAGGAGAATTTTGAGAAATAGGCTGCTTGGGGAGCAATATTTGCGTTACTATTTCCTGAGAAGACTTTAACCAAATATTGAATGCCGGGACCATAAATTCAACCTTATGTCCAGCCTTCATGGCATGCTATTGGCTAGAGATATTGAAACGGTCAAAATTCATCATGAGACTAGCAGTTACAGCTGCAGCCTAAGAATTGGCAGCAAGACACAATTGCATGGCCTTCAAAGTATGGAACATGATTGCAAAATTGGGATCAAATTTCTGTATTTGTTGCAGCTGAGCTGAATAGCAGTTGGAGTGGGAGAAATGACTTGAGATCTGGTTTATTGGATTTAGGTTTTTGCACAAAACAGAGACCCTGCTTTCTCTTTGATGTCAACTGGGAGGAAGAATGAAATAGATCAAGGTATTTTGTCAAAAAAAAAAAAGGTATGGAAATGAAACAGTGAACTTATCAAGAGCTAATTGTGAGAGAAATCAAAGGTTTATTTTCCTGTATGGTGAGAGAAAGTACGTCCTTTACACCTATGGGAGGAAAAAACAGTTAACCTTGGTGCTTTTTGGAGATACTGAAGCGCTAATAAAGGAGAAGTAATGTTATTGAAGTGGAGGAAGAGAATAAGGAGCTCTTCCCTACTCAGACTTGGGGGCAGGTTTATTTTTCAGCTGGCAATGATGATGGGAACCAATAATAACTGCCATGACTCATGAGCACTTATGTACTATTGGATAAAAGTATACTGTTAACTGTCATGTTGGCAACTATTGGTAGTCGTTAGGACCAGTAATGTATTATTTGCATGTGATAGAAAATAAAATAACTTATCCTGCGTTTTCTATTCTGTGTTATTAGAACTAGAAACTGCTTTGATTCTAGAAAATAACTGATGGCAGTTATACATTAGCGGTAGTAGGTTGTGTAATTACTAATTAGGCAGAAGATGTATTATTTGTAGTTTGTGGACGGAGAATGTTCTCTGTAGGATACTTCTGTGTTTGGGACAACAAGTATAGTCAACATTATATTTTATTGGTTTTATCAATTGGTGATTTATAGCCATTAGTCAGAGCGCAACTTTTTTTACTTTAAGAACCCAAGCGCAGGACAATTGATGCTACCTGCAACAATCTTCCCCTCAACAATTGTCCTACAAGGTATCCCACTCTTGGATTATTGTGACTTGGCCCACCCGGCCTCCGCCACGGGACAATTGTGCAACCCGCAACAATCTTCCCCTCAATAATTGTCCTACAAGGTATCCCACTCTTGGATTATTGTGACTTGGCCCACCCGGCCTCCGCCACGGGACAATTGTGCAACCCGCAACAATCTCCCCCTCAACAATTGCCCACTAGGAATCGAACTCGTGACCTTGGCTCTGATACCAATTGTTAGGATCGAGCGTTTACCACTAGGCCAAAAGTTATAGTTATTAGTCAGAGCGCAACTTTTTTTACTTTAAGAACCCAAGCGCCACACGATTCAATTATGACTCGGCCCACCTGACCTTCGTCACAGGACAATTGATGCTACCTGCAACACTGATAACTTTGTAATACAGAATTATAACAGCCTATTCAGCACTTAGCCAATCAAATACCTTGTATCTCCTATTGTGGTATTGTACTTGAAGATGTAACTCCTTATTATATTATAGCTTTGTTAATGCTAGTTCCAAGGTCAACATGATGACTACTCATTATGAGAATACATGCGATCCTTTTGATGTAAACCATGCCTTCTGCATCAAGCAATTCGGTGTGACATTTTGCTCGCCTTCTGCTGCTCTGCATGCAGCTAGCTGATCCGCTATTTATAATTTTTTGCCTGTATTTTATTCATTTATGTCAAGTCTTTGGAAAGTAGGTAACTTCTTTAACCTTAAGATGAGATCTGCATTTTACATTCCAACATAGTTTGTATGCTAGGTTGCACCCGAAGTTTCAATTACTTCATTCTGCAAGCTGAAGTTATGAATGAGTTGTTTCCTATTTGCAAGCTAACATGCAATTGTTTTCACTAAATGTGTCTACAAACGGAAAGAATTGGAAATTCTTCCTGGTATTTATGTAAAATTGAAATGATGATTGTAACCAACTCAATTTTAGTGAAATGCCAGTTACCGGGTAGTATTTAAAGTGGGTTTGTAGACCAGGGATGAAAATATTGAACTTGAATTTGTCACAGGTCATTTTCGGCACCATCCAATTGATTACAAGGCTGCTACCATTGAAATCCTTGGCAAGGCAGTTGCAACATATCGTTGCAAAAACAGTAGACAAGTTGAAGATGAGAAACTGGGTATAGAAGGAACAAAAGATGAGATCACATATCCGTTCTCAGAATTGAAGAAAGAAGCAATGACCTCAACTAGTTTCCAGGGTTTTGCTCTTGCTCCAAGTGATAGTTTGTCTTCTAGTTCAGCGGAGTATTACGTGGGCAAAGATATTGGTACCATAGCAGATGAACGCAAGGGAGGGTTTATTCATCTTCCAAGCCGTCCGAGCATGAATGCACATGGGGTTCTTAGCCAAATATTGTTTGATGTTTGTGTGCCCAAGAATGTTGAGGATTGGGATGTCAGGTCAAATTCCAAAAATGCTTTATCAGCATGTACAAGGAAGCATATTCCATTTAATCCTATAAAATGCATGCGGCGTTCAAGGTTGTAAGATTGTTGACTGACAATCCTCAGGTTGTAAGATTGTTGACTGACAATCCTCAGGTGAATTATGCTTGAAGTTTTCTTCACGGTTCAAAATTTTTAGGGAGATGATCCTGTATTACCTGAAATAAGAGCCAAAAGGAGTAACAATTACCACCTTAGCTGTTCTTTAAGCACTGTGTACTAAAAGTAATGTGATTGAGCAGCTTGCCTTTTTTTTTTTAAACGTAAATTGTACAGCTACTTCAACGGACAAAAAAAAAATGGTTTGATTGAGAATATAGTGATAATTGTAATTATAACCCTAAATTCTGATAATAGAGAAAGTAGTCTTAATCAAGCTTATCAAACTCAAAAATTTATGTAGATTCGTGGAAGGTTTCTAAATTGGACTCGTAAAAATCTATTTCATATAAAAATTATTAATTTAACAAAAAATATGATAATATTAATTTTACATTACTGAAATAAATAAATTCTTGCAATAATACACTGATAAAATAATAAAAAATGAGTTTTAAATATTTTTAATATTTATATCTAAAATAATAAAAAAATTAATTGATTTTGTCTAATAAAATAATCAGAATTAAAAAAATAATTTTTTTAAATCTCTAAATCGATTTGAAAATCTTAAAATCTCAAATTTCTCAATTAGCCTGCGAAAAGGGTGGCTAGTGGTTAATTTGCGAGAGAGCTAGCGAGAAGGGTGACCAAAGGGCGGTGGTTGGATGAGACATGCGACCATGGATGAGACATGCGACCATTGAGAGAGACGTGTGATGCAACTATCGCATAACAAGAGAGAATAAATGAACGAGCAGAGGAAAGAGATAAAGGGAGCACTGTGACGCGATTACCGGCGATGACAAGCAGCAGTGAACAGTAAGAAAGGAAGATGAATGCGATATCTAAATATGTGAAAAGAAATGAGAAATGCGGGAGAAGATTTAAGTGTATCTTCTCTTTCAAACTTGGTGACTTGTCTCTGACTCACGAGTTTACTTATAGTCCACCGAGTTTATCCCTAAGTCTACTCTAAAACGAGTCTATTTACAAATTAACTTGTCATTGGTCATATGATTCGTTAAGTTGTCTGAGTCAGTTAGTTGACTCGTGAGATTGATAAGAATGATCTTAATTAGTACATTTGATAGAATCGAGGGTTCTTTGACGTGTTGAATAAATGGAATACTCCTCAATAGTAATTACAATTTATTAATAACACATGTGAATGATATTTTTCATTGTATATTTTTACGTCTCTATGCTAATCATGCAAACTTTCCCATTAACCCTGTGTTTCTTATATTTATCTACTAAAATTTGGTTGCATAACTTTTAATAAATTTGTTAATTAAAAAAAACATTATTATCATTTTAATTTTAAAAGATAATAAATATAATCTTAAATTTATATATATATATATATATATAATTAACGATTAAAAAAAAGCAGGAGAAATAATATTTAAGAATATATATTTAAAGTTTGTTTTAATTTATTTTTCTTAGAGAAATAACATTTTAGAGATAAAAGATATTCATAATTTCGATTATATCTTTAAGAATATAGTTGAAATTTATTTTTTAAAATTGTTTTGGTATCAAGTCATACATGGTGTAGAAATTGTCGAGGTTAAGAGTAATTTATATACACTTTCATTTTTTAACTCATCAAGACATCTTTTAAGAATGAAACTTAAAATCAACCAATACTTCAAATATGAAAATTGACTTGATGTTATCATAACGAATATAAAATTGGGATACTCTTCTTCCTAGATCGAACATTGACGTCTATTATGATGTCGAGTGCATAGTCTTACTCCACTATACCCCTTTAGTCTTCAATTATGGATTTATATTTTGATACATTCATGAGTTTCATATTACTTAATAGTTGAGATTAAGATAATTTATGTATATTTTCTCTCTTTATCCATTAATGTTTTTAAAGATAAAATCATGATTAATTAGAATTTTAAAATAAATAATAACTCAAACATTAAAATTTGCTATAATAATATTAAGAGATTGATATGATACGGAGATTTATACAGTGGTTGTTATTCTTTGTAATTTATAATTATTTTTTAATATTTATTTCTCTTTAGCGTTATACATACTATATTTAAAAAAAAAAACGTTTTGTTGTTACGTCAAATCACTTTCCAACAAAATTAAAAAAATATTCTAACTATTATTATTTGTATTTAAATAATTAAATTTTTAAAGCTATTTCACAGCATTTTAGTTGGAGATCGAATAGATGCACTAAATAAGTTAGGTATTTATGGATGACGACTATGACATGATTTTCTTGATTAGCATTGTAATCCATGTTTCACTCTATAATATCATCATGATGTTAAAGTTATTCTTTTTTACTATAAGTTTAACTAGAGGATTGTAAATATTTTCCTTTTAATATTTCATACGATTGTAATACATGTAGAGACTATTAGTATCCTCTCTTGTAATGGTAACATTAATTAGCCCTCTCTTATTTTCATATTTGAGTTTTCCCAAATGTAAGTCAAAGAAAACAAAAAAGTGTGTTTAAAGAAGGGAGGGAATTCTTTAAGAGTTAAATCCGGAACTAAAGCATTGATCAGACACTCACTAGCTAGCGGTGGATGGTGTAGTGCAGTACCAACGAATGAAGATATTGGTGACCGGTGCATCCGGTTTCCTTGGGGGAAGACTCTGCGAGGCACTCCTCCAGCAAGGTTACCCCGTCAGGGTTCTCGTTAGGTCCACCAGCGATATCTCTTCTCTTTCTCCGCACATCGAAATCTTCTACGGCGACATCACCGACTATGCCTCTCTCCTCGCCGCTTGCTCCTCCTGCACCATCGTCTTCCACCTCGCCGCCCTCGTCGAACCCTGGCTTCCCGATCCCTCCAAATTTTTCTCTGTAAGTGCCCTCAACTCTCGCCCCTCTTTCACCGATCCGCAATTCCCAATCGCTTTCCTCGTTTTCGTTAGGTCAACGTTGGAGGATTGAAAAACGTGTTGGCGGCGGTGAAGGAGACTCTCACGGTGGAAAAACTCCTGTATACGTCGTCTTTTTTCGCTCTCGGACCAACTGACGGAGGCGTTGCTGACGAGAATCAAGTGCAATTCAGGATCCTCTAGATGCTGTGTTTTGTACATATATTTATTTAATTTTTTACTTCTCTGAAGTCCGATTCTGATTCCGATTGCAATCGCAGGTCCATCACGAGAAGTATTTCTGTACGGAATATGAGAAATCAAAGGTCGCTGCGGATAAGATTGCGCTGCAAGCTGCGTCGGAGGGGGTGCCAATAGTGTTACTGTATCCTGGAGTAATCTATGGGCCTGGCAAGGTCACTGCAGGAAACGTTGTTGCGCGAATGGTATACAACATTTGAATTCAATTATGGTATATGACAATTTATATATGATTGAATTACCACGGTTTGGGTTTGTTCAACCCTATTATTTTCAAAACTGGGTACATGAATGAACTATGGTATATGACAATTTATATTCATTTGAATTTGTTTCATTTGATAGATAGTAGAACGGTTCTGTGGTCGATTGCCTGGTTACGTAGGGTATGGAAGCGATAAATTTTCTTTCAGTCATGTTGAGGATGTGGTGGAAGGGCAAATTGCAGCAATGAAGAAAGGACAAGTTGGGAATAGGTATCTACTAACGGGGGAAAATGCGTCGTTCAAGCATGTTTTTGATATGGCTGCTGTGATCACTGATACTAAGAAACCAGCGTTTAGCATCCCTTTGTGGGTGATTGAAATATATGGGTGGCTCTCAGTTTTATTCTCTAGAATCACTGGAAAGCTACCTTTCATCAGTCCACCGGTGAGTTCTCTCTTTTCTTGCGAGTAAACATATCCGATCATTAATTTCCAAGAATTTAATGTTTTTTATTTTCTTAACATGCTCTTAAATTAATGAAAAGGGTTAAGTTTATTTATTTGTTTATTAAAACAGACTGTTGTTATCATGTTCAAATTGTAGACCTTTATTTCTTATTTCTTTTTACTCTATAGCCTCTGAACTTACCAAATTAATGTCTTTACAATTAAAATTGCTTTATGTACCCTCCGTATACCTATTAATATTTTAACTTTTTAATTTTGTTTTAAATTTATCATATTTTGAAAATCCAAGCCCTAGTTAATATATATTTTTTCAAACTATATTCTTATTTTAGTTAACGAAAATTGATGATGCATTGTAATTTATTTTTTAGTGGGAAAAATTGATAGTGGAGAAAGACATGAAAAAAATATTGTAATACAATTTATTATTTTCAGTCGACGTAAAGATTGAATGAATATATTTTAGCTCAAATGATGGATTGAATTTACTCATTTGAAATCAAATTAATCAAAGTGGTTGTATTATTGATTATTTTTACTTCAGATTCAAGTCAAATCAATTATTACTGGTTCAGTTATTGGATTTTCATTTTCTTCCATTCAAACAAATTTAGTCAATTATTTTTTTAATCTTTTTAATTTTCTTTTGATTTTATATATTTAAATTAGCTATAAAAAAACATGTTTAAATATTTGTATAAAACAATGAACACAAATATATTAATCTATTTGTTTTTATCATGATTCAATAGCTTTAATCTATAATTTCAATTGGTTTTGTCTGGTTTGTATGGAAAAAAATTCCCAAATCTGAACGTAGCCATATAATTCCAAATTTTTGTTCTTATTGTTGTGCAAACTTTGGAGCAGACAGTACATGTTTTAAGACATCGGTGGGAGTATTCCTGCAACAAAGCTAAAAGTGAGCTAGATTATAGGCCAAGAAGCTTGAAAGAAGGCCTTTCAGAGGTACTACTCTGGCTGAAAAACTCAGGCTTGATAAACTATTAGCCAGCATTAATGCATTTTCTTTAAACATATACATATGGTACTACTTTTGGGGGCTGTACCTTGTGCTATATCTAAAAGACAACAAAAATGTAATAAAACCACAATAACATATTACACTGTTAGGAATCCTTTATAGTTCTTTTGTCCTAGTATCTTATCTATTTAAACTTTTGATGGTGAAGGCTAAGGAGTGTTTGCCTCAGGTGTGCATGAATGAGTCAGTAAATTAACTACATAATTTTGTAGGGTTTTGAAGTATTGTAAAAATTTATGGAATAAAATAGAAATATAACACAAGTATGATTCTGTTACATAAATACAATTATTATTACTTGAAATTAAAGGCAAAGGTTAATTAAATGGAGTATGTATGCAGATGATACTTGGGAGAGAATTGTAAGTATTATTCTTGTAATCAAGATGTATGGAATAAATATATTGATTTGATATATAAATTTTAATGACATATTATTATTTTTAAATTTAATTATTTTCTACATGATGATATAATGTACATCAATCTTCTAATACCTGTATGGATGTGTACTTATATTTTATTATATTTTTATTTTAATGAATTAAAATTTAATAATATATTAATTTTAACATATAAATATTTGTCCTAAAATTATATATGGTTAGAGACGTGAAAGAGAATTTTAAGAGAGAAGAGAAAAATTAAAGAGGATGTGTAATGAAGTTTTTTATTATTTTTATTAATTTGTATTCAAGAGAAGGAAAATTTTAAATTTTATTTATTTCATTTATATTATAAACAAATTAAGGATAACATATGATTGAAAGATTAGATGGGAGAGAAGATATAAGGCAAAAAAATTTATTATATAATGACATTAAAAAATGGTTATAAAATAAAATAAATATTCTTTATATAATGGTATAATAAATAGAGTAAAAAATTTATATAAAATTAAAAATAATAACACAAATTTTAAAAAAATATAAATATTATTTTAATTCATTAAAATAAGATAGTGTGATAAACAATACAAATATACAATTAAGGCAAACATATCTCTTATAAACATATCTCTTATTAATATAATAATAGTAAAATGATTTAATAAAAATAAAAATAATTTGAAAATTATTATTATGATATTATCATTCATTATATATGAAATGTTTAAGCAATTCTAGTGTAAAAATAGTTTTTCCCTTTTAATTATTACAGTGGAAAGGCGTTATTACATTTATGTGTACATAATTTCAAAATAAATTATCAAAATATTTGAGATAAAATATGGAAGAATTGTATATATAAAAAATATTAAAATTCAATTTCTTCTATTAATATTAAAAATAGTTAAAATATAATAAAACATAGTTATATAATATAAAAGATAAAATAAAAATATTATATATCCAATCTGTGATAAGTTATAAAAAAGATGTATATTATTAAATCAAATGTATAATAGTTACAAATGTGACAAAACATAACACAGTTTCATTATAGAAGAAGAATAGTTGATAAAAGATCAATATTATTGTCCTTAAATATTTTGTCATAAATATATTAATGATTTAGAATAAAATGTTAATGGAAAAAATTTTCATCACTAAACATTTTTAAATATATTTTTAGTTGTTAAAAACTTATCAACCAAATTTTTTTACAAAAACATATTTTAACGACTGTAGCTTAAAAATTAATAACCAATATTTAAATTATTAACCTTTTTATTTTAAACTAATTAATAAAAAATTTGGTAGTAAAGTATCATTAATATTTTTGTTTTTAACATATAGTAACTAATTTTTTTATCACTAAATAATTAATAAATAATATTTTTATTAATTATTTAAATTTAAAAATGTTAATGACTAAAAATTTTGAACTTTAAAAATTTTGCATTACTAACTTTTGTTATAAATATATTATTAAATTTTGGTTGTCCAAGAGATGGCAATTCCTATTTTTGTTATTAAATGTTTTGTTAAAAAAAAAACAAAAATATTTTGTGATTATTATATTTGTCATTGAATAATTTTATTGTTAATATTTTTGTTTTAAATTTATTAATTATTAAAAATTTGGTTATTAAAAAAATAGTGACCAAAATTTATCATTAATATTTTTATCTAAAATAAATTAATGACTGAAATTTTTAGTTGCAAATAATTAATTAGCAACCGATGTCTACGTCAATTATACTTTAAACTACAACAAATTAACGATCAATATTTTTATCATTGACATGTTTTGTTTTTAATTAATTGGTCATATGAAAATTTTAATTTTAAATATTAGAGATTGATATTTTCATTTTTAACATGTTATTATTAATAATATTTTTGTCACCAAATTTTTTTTTTGAATTAGTATTTTATATTTTGGTTAAAAAATATTAATAATGTATGTTATTTTCAATCCATCAATGATAAAATATTTTGGTCAGTTAAATAATTGGTTACAAATATATATATATATATATATATATATATATATAAATGTTAAATTATTGATAATATTTAGTTTTATTAGTTTTGTCTTTATGTTAAAGGTATATTATAATTAAGCATAAGGAGTGAGTATTTAAAAGAAAAAAAAACTGTTTAAGAAAAGTTACATATTAAAAACATTAAAATGTATAAAACCTAATTTTTTTTCTAAAATTCATATAATAATTTTAATTATTTAATTTTTTTTCTTCATAAAAATATATTATATTATAAAATTTAATTTCAAGCATACTGAAAATGGTTGGACTTATCTATTCAAAATATGATGAAAAGAGTCATCTCATTAACTTGAAAGATGAAGTTTAATTAAAAATTGCAATTGGAGAATAGGGTTGCAATCTAATAAATTAGCTTAATAATCTCAAATACTTTCTACCTTATGAAGTAATTAAAAAAACCGCGAGAATCGCTATAAATTTTTTTTTATATAATCATTTTTATTAATATAATAATTATGAAAAGATTTAATAAAAAATATAATTTAAAAATATTATTATAATATTAAAATCAATTGTATATTGAATGTTTGTAAAAATGGTAGTGTCAACAAAAAAAATCTTCAAAATTGGTAAGGATTTCAATTTGGTAAGTTTTTCCATTTAAAATAACATATTCTTAATGGAGTAATTAATTTCACACTATAAAGATATAAAATTATAATAAATAAACGTACAATATGGTGACAACAGATGAAAGAAATTGAGTGTTCAAAATAAATATATTTTTTAAATATATTTTATTTTATATTTATAAGATTTAAATTATTTAGTTAAGAAGTAAATATTTATTGTTCTTTATCAAAATTGTTCATATTTTATAAAAATTCATATGAAACAAGTTTTTCTTAAATTTTCCCGTTAGATTTTATATGATTAAAAAAAAATTAGGAAAGTCTTACTGATGTTAAAAGTTTTAGTATTGACTCATGCTAAGTATTTTAATAATAAATAAATGAAAAAAATAATAAAATAGAAGAATTAAGTACATTTGTTTATTATTGTAGTCTTGTAAAATTTGATTTTGATTTTTATAATTTAAAAATTGATTCATTAATTTTTAAATTTTAAAAAAATATAATTTAGTTAAAAAAATTGTAATTACATATATAAAAATTTAAATTATGTATGTAAAAAAGTTATTAATTTAAAAATATAAAAACTAGGATAATTAAAAAAAAAAAAATACACATTCAAAACTTACATATCCCTCTAAGACACGTTGTGCAAATGACAGAAGACACTGTACATCGTGAAGTGGGAATGCAACGGTCGATCTTGGGAGAGAGACTGCAATTACAATGCCAAAACAAAGAAGATCAAAATAACTAAAACATAATTTAGGGCACTGTTTTCTCTTCTCTTCTCGGGTCGTCTTCTCCAAATACAAAAATGGTGACAGCATCAGCATACGAGGAGAGTCGTCGCAAGAGAATGGAGGAAAACAGAAAGAGAATGGAAGCCCTCAATCTCCCTCTCCTCTCTCAAGCTCTTCACAAGTCTCCTTCTCCCAAATCTTCACAGGTAAATACTACACTTAAAATTTTTATTATTAATAATTATAGTCCCTCATTTTATGTATTTACTTTGTTTACATAATCCATTCTATTGCTTTTCATTTCCGTTGAGTGATTGCAGTTAAAACCTGCCGCCAAGAATCGCACCATTCAGAAAGAGGTGGTTGTGGTGAGAAGATCAAGCCGTGTGGCCAACATGCCCTCTCCAATTTACAAAGAAGTCAGTTTTTTTCTTCTTCTTTCCTTCCATCAATTGGTGGGGTGTTTTCATCTTCCATTCCTCTTTTCTCTTCACTCAACTTTATTTTTCTTCCTAACAGGTGGTTATTGACCGAGTCACTATACCTCGAAGAAGGTTGGACTCTTTTGCTTGCCTTAGCTTTCATTTTACTCCATTTTTAAAATGTGAAAACATTATTTTTTTCATTTGTTTTTGTAGAAGTACCGTTAATGGTTACAATAGGCACAGGGATTATGCGAATAGGGTATACGCCTCGGATGAAGCCAGAGAGGAAGCATTGGAGAAAGCAGAGAAGTTAATGTCCGGTTTAGAGTCTGATTATCCAGCCTTCATAAAGTCTATGCTCCAGTCTCACATTAGTGGGGGTTTCTGGCTGGTATATAAAATAGAACTGTTTTTTTTTTTTTTTTTTTTTATCTTCAGTATTATTTTTCATCTTTGTATGTCCTGATTCATAACTACATTTGTTCAACTCATCATTTTGAATGATTTGTGTATTATAAAGTTCAGTTATTTCACACAAAAAAAATGGGATCAGTGTGTTATGAAGATGAGTTATTTTTCTCTAAAATAATGGTGGTTTGATTTCAGTGAAGCTTTGCCCTTCTCATCCATGGGGGGACTCTGATCTGCCTGATTCAAGGAGTCTATTTGTAGAAATTATTATTAGTAGATATATATATATATATATATATATATATATATATATATATATATATATTTCTTTTCAAATGTAGTTCAAGTTTTTTTTTTTTTTCGTTTGGAAAATCAAGAAATACAATATATATTTTGTTTGACTTTAATAAAGTATTTATAAGATTGTCTATTTTGTCCTCTTCATTTATACATCACACTAAGTACATATATATAAAAATTAAATATTAGATGAATAGTAAGATACAGTTCACAAAAGAGTAATTAATATTATGTTATACTTTGAAAATAACAGTAAAAAAGAAGAAAAATCTTTAAAAAATAAATAATTAACAGGTATATAGAAGGAGAATCTTTCCTAAAGGTGACAGTGAAATAAAAAGAGAGAAAGTAGTATTTTGCATTAAAATTGCTCAAGTTCCCTAAAATTCATCATTATGATTTTCTTGTCGAACATTGAACTTAGATTAAGGTGAAAATTGTTAGACATGTTTAATTTTAAGATTTTCTATTTTTATTTCTGTGTCAATTTGATGGGTAAAACAATGTTGCTTTGACATTCCTGTGGGGTATACATTCCAAGGGATGTGGGTTTATAGTTTTGATCATTCAAAATTTATAGTTCAAATTTTTTTTATATTACTTGATTATTTAAGATCTTACTTTAATATATATAATATACATATTTATAGGATATTTAAGAAAAAATTGGACGTGAACCTCATTTCGTAAATGATATTTTTATCTCCTCTTTTTTAAAATACACTCATCCCCTAGATAACATCAAAGAAGGGTTGAGTGTGTGCTAGTCTCTCTATTGAAGATGTAAATGTCAGTTAGTGTAATTTCTCCTTAATTTTTTTTTCTAATGTTGTTTGCTAGTTTTTCATAATTAAGATATTAAAATACTCAAGGATTAGGATATAGGATTCCTAAGAAAAGTTGATTTACTTGTATATGCAACACAACTTTGATACTGCAGAAAGTGACTCGTTTAAATACTTTTTTCGTTGACAACAGGGCCTTCCAGTCCATTTCTCCAAGAGCAATCTGCCTAAAAAGGATGAAGTGATGACTCTGATTGACGAAGATGGGAATGAGTATCCAACAATATATTTGCCCCGTAAAACAGGACTTAGTGGGGGATGGAAAGGTTTTGCTGTTGCTCATGACCTAGCTGATGGGGATGCTTTAATTTTCCAATTAATTAAGCGCACTGCATTCAAGGTGATTTAATGTTAATCATATTGTGATGTTTCTAGTAATAGACTCTTGACTCTTCTTTAGAACTTTAAATAATGTGTGGCATATTCAGTTCATGTGCTGTGGTTACTACACCAATACCCCAATTATAGTTATTCAGTTTTATTTTTGCTGTTGTTACCTGATCCCTTTTGAGTTATCGCGATGTTGTTATTTACTACAATTTGAATTCATGGGTATAGCATCTCCTGGTGCCTCAGGTGTACTCTTTGAATTCACTAATATTAACATGTTGCGGTTGCTTATACTTTCTTTCAGGTGTACATTATTAGAGCGAATAGTTCTTCAGAGGATAAACAGCTAAAGTGAATTTCAGTTGGAGATTGGAGCCAGTAAAATTAATCTTGGTATTCTTTTCTTCATAAACATGATCAATCATAAGTTACGTCCAGAGTAAACATAACCTACAAATGAAATGTGAATCAGGGAGAGATACTTAAACAATATTGTTTGCCCTAGGGCTTTTGGACACCAATAATGGTGATTTGATAAAACTTCAGAGATGAAAAATTAAAGTCGTCTGTAATGTAAGAAAGGAGTACTTGGACACCTATAGAAACAGACAGAATAAGGAAAGGTCTACAGGGGAAGAATAGAAACTAACGATTATACTTTTGAGGTTCAGCGTGAGCATTGGCAAAGCAATATGGACATTAATTGTTTAAGTCAAGATTCCAATACATATTTAACAAGCTCTAGAACTAACTAGTATTGTATGGCACTTGAACATGGAGGCATTAGGGTTTAGGGTGTAGGGCAGTCAAAGTGATCACTGCCATCTCATTATTTTAACACACCGAATACCTCAGCATGACGAAGATGCATTACTTAGTTAGACATAGTACCATTGTTTGTGCTTTTTTCCAATTAGAATCAGAGTTTCGTCTTAGTAATAAACAGTGAAATTGCTTAGATTACTAAGAAATAACTCCAAATCTGATTGGAGAATAACACAAATATTGTACTTTCAAGGCATTGTATCATGTACTCCAACTCTTCTTGATTTATTGTAATCATATGGGATCGAGTTTCTTAGTTGCTTCCGAGGGTTATGGCTAGGTTAGGCACAATAAATTCAAACTTTCCTATCACATTCTGTCCGGTGGTTGCGATCATAGTCATACTAAAATTTTGTATATGTCGTCTTATAGAGACATGTGGGTCTTCTGCGTGTGTCAAAGTGGGTGTTTTTATAGTCACTTCCATTTTTGTCTTCAATCAACGTTGTTCACATGTGAGTCTTAAAGCAGTGAAAGTTTGCTTCTGTTTCAGTCTTAAATTACTTCAATTATTTCCGCTGGATACTGCCAGAGTCTCTCTAATGAATGCGTTGTTTATTTAATTTCTCCTTTTGCAGGATCTCTATTGTAGTGGAGGGAACGTTTGTGGGTTCATTTTTCGTATGAAGACTAACTTGTGCTAATATGTACCCCTAAGTGAATGGAACTATATTCAGCATCTATAAAAACCTATGTATCCCTGAGTTACGAATGAAAAAGAATGACCCCATGAGACAAACTTTCTTGAATATGATGTTCTGATGTTCAATACGTTATTCTTCTTATTTTCTTTTTTCTATTAAAAAAAACAGTGTTTGATGTTTTCTGTGGAAAGGGTTGGCATGAAATGAGAGTTAAATTGTTGACTCTAACAGATAGCTGGCCTTAGCTTGGCTTCTTGGCCAAGTGAAGAGCAGAAAGGCAGAAAATAGTCTTGTCGCACGTGGCATTGCGCAAACATGTCACGATCATGTGTTTAATCTAACTTAATCGCAGGGTCATTTACTTATTTTAATATTTATTTATTATGTATGTTATTAAAAATATTTCATTATTCAAATTATTCCATACAAATGAAAAGAAAATGCATTTTTTGTCATATTTTTTAGTATTTCATGTTATACATAACAAATAATACCCACAATTTCGTTTATCATAACCTACGAGTTATGAAATTATGAATTTGAGTGCAATAGAAAGTGCAATGCAATATAATTATTGATTGAATTTGAGGAAGTTGGTTGGAAACAGCGCAATGGAATACGCGTATTTGAATTTTCAGATTTAATATTTTTTATTTCATGACAACACAACACTTGCTTGGAGAGTTTGAGTGAGGTGGGGTGTTTACAGCTTGCAAATTCCAAACTATAATATCCTCCTCTTCTCCGTTTCTCTTCTCTGCTAATTTACAACTTCATCACCAATCACTTTCTCCACAATCACCCACTTTTATATTCTTTTTTTTTTTTAATGGCTGATTAGATTATCCACCATAATGTAGTCATCTCTTATTTAATCATGGACCCTCCTTTTTCTGGGGTTGGTAATATCATTTTAAATATAAAATAAATCATGTTAAAAAATATATATATATATATATTTAAATCTCAAACACTCTTAATTATTATTTTCAATAATAAACAATTCAATGGTTTAAAAAGAATTACACCCTCTCACTCCACTCTCACTCTCAAACACAATCTAACCTGACACAACACAACGAAAGGATCATTTGACCTTTGATTTGATTATCTGTTCCTTTCGGTGGTGTGACGTGGACGCGCCAATTTTTGTGTGTGCGTCTAAAATCCCAAATGTAACAAACAAGCGCCGATGATTGCGGCTTCTCCGCATCCAATGTTTTAGGTTGTTCGTTTAAATCAATTGGACTTTTTCTTCTTCTCTTTTCTCATTTCAAACATAACAGATTTTTGCATTCTCATTAAGATAACGTTGCTTTTTAAGACAATCTTGTTTAAAGTTACAACTTTTAATTTCATATTGACACTGTATAAAACTTAAGTTTACATAATTATTTGTTTTATAAAAATTGTAAAAACAAGTTCTAAAGTTAAAAGATACTGAACACTTACCCAACTAGAAAAACATCAACTTAACTAAAAAAACCTAATCATGAATAAATGTTGTTACTGCAAGAGTTTGACTATTTTTAAAACATTATCTTCAATCTCATCAGATTCATTCATTGTAATTTTATCTTATATTCAGGACATTAATTTGAAAAGAATGCAAAAAAAATAAAAATTGCTTATTGTTAAATCTATAAAATCAGTAATTTTCTTAGTCATGGTGACAATTAAATCAATAAAAACAAAAATATTTCGCAGGAAATTGTAATCAAAAGTTTTTATTTTTAGTTGCTATATTAATGTACTTATTCATTGTGATGAGTTAATTAGTAATAAATGGAAGAAAATTCAAACAATACAGTTGGCATTATTAAAACTTAGAGATCAAAGTCGAATAATCCCAATTGACATTCACATTCTTGAAATTGAAAGAAACCTCACCGTAGACGTAAGGAGAGAATTTAATTGTCATGAATATTAATTTTAAGCGAAATAAAAAAAACGTATTTTTTTTTTTAATTCTCAACAATCAGATAAATATTTATATCAGAGTCTAGTTTTCAATTGAAAAATTATTCTCTAAATATTTATCATCCAAATTAACCTGTTTGTGTGAGATGTTGAACCAACCACCTGGTGTGGATACAGGGAACTCCTCAAAAGGAAAAAATAAAATAAAATTGTAGGGTAGGGCTTTCTCATTGTTGGGGAATTTGGATATCCCGAATGCAATTTAGGGTCGATGTAGACTACACTACGCTTGCTTTTTGACAAAAGTGTTTTTACTGTTTATAAATAAGAACCCTAAATTAAACATAACTTTCAACCCATTTTTATATTAATTTTACTTTTTGTCTTTGAAGTAAATTTGATGAAAAAAAAAAGTGAAGTTTTGAAAGTAAATTGACAGAGGGGAGCGAGAGTGAACAAAACGTTGACATTGAGCATGCCTGGCTGGCGTGGAGCGAATGAAACGAAGCGTTTTTGCCATGTCACGTCATTCACCGTCTTCTTTGGGGGCATAGAAAGAAAAAGGAAACTGCTCGTTCATTCGTTCATTCATTCTTTCATTTTCTCTCTGTTTTGTTTTGTTTTATGCTTTATTGTCTCTGTGTTGTTGTGTGCATCGTCCAACAATACAAACAAGAATGCAAGTTTTGCAGAACTCCGGGATCCGCGTTGTTCAACCGCTCCATTCCACCCTATTTTAAGCTCCCCCTTTCTTAGCATCCACCTTCTCATTCTTCTTCCAATCCACCGAATTGCCGTCTTGTTATAATTTCCGTTACCATAATTAGTTACTGTGCCTGGTTCCGTCCAATTTTACGAATTTGTTGAAACCGGCGACGCAATCACATGGACGATTAAAGCAACCACACCTCGGTGTGTCGTGTCGGAGAAATTCAGGTTCATCGGCGCGAACAATGTCTGGTCGGAGTGAACACCAAACGGTTTCCCTTTCGGTGCTGCTGCAGCGTGAGTTGGCCAACGAGAAATTTGAGAAGCCGGATGTCGTTCTCGTGCACGGCCAAGCCAGTGAGAATAAGAAAGGAGAGGATTTCACGCTGTTGAAGACGGAATGCCAGAGGGTGGTGGGAGATGGGGTTTCTACGTATTCTGTTTTTGGGGTATGTTATGTTAATGTTCTGTTTCTTTCTCTTACCAACACATTCTGCTTTTTCTTACTGGATTTAATGAATTTTGTAATTCATATGTGGATTTTAATGTGATTGTGATGATGCATCAGAGGTCAATGTGTGTGATGTCTTATTTTATGTATGATATTGACATGACATTATGATAATAGAGAAAAGTGAGCGAGCTGTGTCAGCGAGTACATTCAGCTTCTGCCTACTTCTTGTTGAGTTGGTTGCAATTTATATAGCAATTATATGTTACTTTTGCTAATGTTTGATGATTGGATCCATATCTCAGATGTGGTTTTCCTCTGTAATTAGAAACTGGTAGTTTATACCTTTGACGTTTCAAACTTTGATTTCTTATTTTTCAAGGATTTTCAAACACGCTCTTAGACAGTCAAAACTCCAGGGAGTTCTAGCAAATTGCCTATCATATAATTTCTCCTTCAACAAGGAAGCCCATATTACTGACTTTATTGTTCACTGCCTAGTTTTTTTTTTTTTTCAGAAATTATTTTTCTTAGAGTTTTTCCCCAGAATTGATTTTCTAGCTTATTGTTCACCGTGTTCTTCTTGATAGCTAGCTTTTGTTTGTGTATGTAAAAGCAAGTAAAAGTTCTTTTTTTTTTTCCTAATTCAGTTGTATTAGTTGAATGACAAGACTATTTTGGCAGTTTTTTCTGTGAATGCTGATGTTATAGCAAAATAAACTTTTTTTTTTCTTGGTTTATGCTTATATATATATATATATATATATATATATATATATATATATATATATATATATATATATATTGTTGCATTTGCATTCTCTGATGTAGAAGTTTTACAGCTATTTGATGGACATAATGGATCTGCTGCCGCTATTTATACCAAGGAGAATCTTCTGAACAACGTTTTAAGAGCAATTCCTTCTGATCTTAACAGAGATGAGTGGGTCGCAGCGTTGCCTAGGGCTTTGGTTGCGGGCTTTGTGAAAACTGATAAAGATTTTCAAGAGAAAGGTATAACTAGTTACTTCCTTGTAGTGTTTGCTTCTATTAATTATTAGCCCATGAAGCAAATTCATGTATTCCATCCGAAATATTCATAGCAATAATGTAATATTGCCAAAGAGTAATGCTGCATCTCCTATGTAACCTCCTTCTACCTTTTAAAGAAATTATTGAGTGAAAAAGTAAATGTAATATAAAATGTATTCAAAACTTTTTTCATCTGGTAAGCAGGGGGATTAATAGGTAAATATTGTTGAATAATTTAGTATTATTCATTACACAAATAACTAGTCAATATTCTCAATTTTCAAAAGTAAAGAATTCAAGAATAGAAGGTAAAAAAATATAGAAAACAGGTATAATTCATACTGAACATGTTGACTCCATCGGGAAACTCTGCTAATATTTTTCCAACCTTGAAAAATGTACTTATATTTTCGTCAGCTCTAGCTTAAATTGTCTAATGCATACTGAGAACAGTTTAATATTGTTTAGCCATTAGGACAGTTAAGTTAATGCAGCTATTTATGTATGAGAAATATTAGTGACACACTCTTTAAACATACTCTCTTCTATTGGTCGAATCTTTTGAAAACTACTCCTCTTTATATGTATAGTGCTTAATTGGATTAAAGTTTGCAAACTTATGATCCCAAGTCTCGCTTCTACAAAACTGAGTTTTTGGACAAAATTTTAATGTGCAACCGTACTTATGAGCATAACCAAACACGTCAGAAACTTAGTTTACACTCCAAACTAAGTTTGGAACACCCCAAATGGAAAACCAAACATGGCTATAGTTGTTGGAGAACACACATTTTCTAATGAAAATTATTAAAACTTTTGTAATTGAGCTGTGATTGATAGGTTTATACTTCTTAGTTACCAAGTTGTTGTTGTATTTTTTCATAACTCTTTTGTTGATTTATGTACATTATTATCTTTGCTTGTACAGCACAAACATCAGGAACAACTGTAACCTTCATGATTATTGAAGGATGTGTTGTGACAGTTGCATCAGTTGGTGATTCCCGCTGCATACTTGAACCTTATGAAGGTGGGATTTATTACTTGTCAGCAGACCATAGGCTAGATAGCAACGAAGAGGAGTAAGTTGTTACTGGAATGGTTTGTTTGAACAATTTCTTGGAATTGCTCCATTACATTGCAGCGCAGTCTCACTCTTTTTTTTTTTCTTTTCTTT